TGTATATTCATGTACACACGTCCACCAACCACTTTCCCCATGGACAAGATGGTGACAGTATTTTATACCATCGGGACACCCTTTCTCAACCCACTCATCTACACACTCAGGAATGCAGAAGTAAAAAATGCCATGAGAAAGCTATGGAGTGTCAAAATTACCTCAGAAAGCAAATGATGTAATGGGGTTATAATGACATATTTGAAATATGACTGAATTTGTACAGACTGAAAACATTATAGTGTATAATTATTGTACCACAGTCAATTTATATAAGGTGCTAAGTTGATATTTTTTCTAATTTACAGATGAATGTCTGCCATCATTTTTGGGTCAGATTTAAATACATTGTCATATTAAGTCTGATAATTATGTACCAGGATAACATTAGCCTGACTCTATCTTTTCCTGATAGTTTAATTCTGGTATTGCTGAATATGAACTATTTGTTGGGGCTTCAAAATTTTGTAGACAATGGAATCAGAGGATAATGGAATATTTCCAGGAAAATTTTAAACTTCCTCAAACATCAGTATTCTGAATCTGCACTCTGATTTGATAAGCACAATATTTATGTAATTACAGTCACCCAGAGATGTGAGGATCTATAAGCGAAAGGCAGCTAACTCTCTATGATTTTAAATTTTGTCAATAACACAATAAAAGTTAAATATACAACTTCTTTTCTGTCACCACCAGGTCAATTATACTCTGTGTTTCAAAACCACCAATTCCATTTAATCATTATTTTTTCTTTGAAGAGTTCCTTGATTTTAAATCATACTTTTTTTTTTGTTTTTTTTTTTAAATTTGCTTTTATTTTTCATTGTATTGATATTCTAAACTAATTGAATTCTCACTGTATTTTTGTTTATTAAGATAGTAGAACTTTAAAGTAATTGATTCTTCTTTGCTATTCCTTATTGTTCAAGTTCCATATACATTTGAGGAAATTGCAAATTCCATGTCTTGGTTCGAGCGCACAATCATTTTTAGATTCATATCTTTGCTCTTATACACTTTAAAGAGGTCTTTTGCAGATCATACAAATAAAAAACATATAAGTAAGGGATATGTCTGGAGGCACCTCAGAATGCTCCTTAGAAGTGAAGACAGTAAGATTTGATATCAACTACTTTGGGCATGTTATTAGGAGAGATCAGTCTCTAAAGAAAGATGTCATGCTTAGCACAATAGTTATTGTCAGATGCCATTGACTCAGTTCCAGCCCTTAGTGACCTTCTGTATAACAGAATGAAACACCACCCAGTCCTGTGTTGTCCTCACAACTGCAGTTACGCTGGAGGCCATTGCTCCTACCACTGTGCTAATCCATTATGTTGTGGGTTTCATCTTTCTGCTGACCTTCCACATTACCAAACACTATATCTTTCTTTAGGGACTGGTCCTTTCTAATAATATGTTCAAAGTATGAGAGACAAAGTCTGGCCATATTGACTTCCAAGGAGCATCTGGTTGTGTCTCTTTCAACACAGAATGGTTTGTTCTTCTAGCAGACCATGGTACTCTCAATATTCTTCTCCAAGACCACAACTTAAATGCATCAATTTTTCTATGATCGTCCTTATTCATTGCTTAACTTTCCATGCAAATGAGATCATTGAAAATAGTACAGTAGAGGGTCAGCAAAATATAGAAAGAGACTTGATGAGACAAACTGACACAGTGGCTGCAACACTGACCACAAATACAGCAATGATTCTGAGGATGATACAGGACTATGTAGTGTTTCCTTCTCTTGTGAATGGGCTCACCATGAGTCAACCAAATTGACAGCAGTCACAAGTCAGGTTAATGCGCTCTACTGCAAGGTCAGGTTGAACTGCAAGGTCAGCAGTTTAAGCTCACCAGTCGCTCCTTGGAAATCCCATGCAGGGCTGCTATGAGTAAGGACCGAATCTAAGGCATTTAAGAACAGAAACAAGGAATGTTTGCGGAGTACAATGCTAAAAGGTTTGGGAATCCAGTACAAGAAATTTGTGCTATAGGTTTCCTTATTCTTTGTCCAATCTTCACAGGTATGTGTGAATTGCTAACTGGCTGACACTGAGGATATTAAGAAATTGGAACCTGGTCAGAGCTGGACAGACCAGGGCTTTCCAAGCTTCTTTCTTCCACTCATTCACCTCATGAGAGAAACTCCAGTAAATTCCCCAGTTACTCTCAGAGGGATAGAAAATATCAGCAATAGCTCTATCATCTCTAGCTCTCATTAATCTCTGATTCCTGTTGGTCAGCAATTCAAACACATGTACTTCTTTTATTGAGTGTTTATATGTTTGACTAAAATGTAGAAGTTTAAATCAAAGACCCTTTGGTATGTTCCTGATTCATTGAATTTATCAGAGGAAAGAGGTGTTAGTCCTGTATTCCTTATGGTAGACAATGTACAGATTGTGGTTCATTTATGGTAAAGTTATTAGAACACAAAACATATTAACACAATTAAGAACTTTCAGATAAACCAGTATCTAAGCATTAGTTTATGAAATCAAAACATTTTGGGGAAATGTTTCGTTAGAGAATAATGAGCAAGATACTTTGAACTAAACATTCTATGGAAATATCATGACCACACCATAGGGCACTCTCAGGTCTTGAAGAAAATGATAGAATAGCGTAAACACCGAAAACCAAACCCACAACCCACTGTAACAGAGTCAATGCCAATTCAGAGCAACTATACCTCCCACAGTCCTCTCTAATTAGTTGGGTTCAATGATTATTTGAAATTGCTACAAAAAACTCAGACACCATTTTCAAAGTTATGGGGCTTCTTAGGGAAATCAACAGGTTACAACTGAGTGTCAGAAATGATCAGGGAAGATTTCCTCCAGTCTGGACAGGCTCTCCTCTGCCCTGTCTGTTTGCAGGTCTCTCTCTGGACCTGGACCCCTTGGCCTGACCTCTGTCCTGATCTGATATGTTACAAAGTTTTCCAGGTTGCTGATAAATACCCACAGCTGATAGCACTCTACCCCAAACCTCAGCCTGAGGCTCAGGGCTATAGCTCAGGAGTCATGAAAACTCCCTGCCCTAATTAAGTACCTGGAGGCACTCCACTCTCAGAGAAAGTCCCCTGCTTAAAGTCAACTGCTCCACAGAATGGGAAGCCCACCATGCTGTTTCATGCTCTTTCTCATAATTTTGCTGCTGACTGATCCTCTGCAACTCGTCTTATATCACAGATTTCTGTTGCTGGGTCAAGGAAGTTCAATGTGCAAGGATATTTGGGTTGAAAGGAAATCCCCCATGCCTCACACTTCTTCTCTGGTGGTAGTGAGATTGTTTCTCCCCAACTCCCGATGTTTATATAAGTCATAATATACACATGCTAGAGTTCCAAGTTTTCACAATTAACCCTGTTCAACATTCATTCACAATTGTATTACATAATCCATCTGTATTTTCCCTTACATTCTCTTACCCAGATTCATTAGGAAAATAAGTTTATTTATGACAGTTCGCAAAGACTATGCTAGATGAGTCATTAAATAATTCACTACACCCCAGCAAATAGGACAGAGGCTGTCATCAATCTAACTGTCTTTCCTGGGAGCTCAACTCTGGCCCTACTTACTAAACACAAACTATATGAGTAGCACATTGTGACCTATACGATTCAGAATCTGTACTGTTTGTTTTTTGACAGACACTTACACAATCATAGCCATTCAACTTATGAACCTACATAAATACAATGCAACCTCTCCTCTATGATCTTTCATGTTCTCCATAATACATTTCCGGTTCGGTGTTCAGGTTCCTTTGAATACACCTTAGGCAGTGGAACTTGGTGCATTATGATGTTGGGACACTCCATTACATTTTATCATTAGTTTGCCTTTGAAAAGGTCCATCTTTTTTTAAATAATCAAAACCTCCTTTTTTTAATGTACTGATTGTTGTTGTTATTGTTGTTAAGTGCCATCGAGTCGATTCTGATGCTTAACGACCCTATACAGGGTTTCCAAGGCTGTAAATCTTGACGGGAATAGAAAGCCTCATCTTTCTCCCACGAAGCGGCTGGTAGTTTTGAACTACTGACCTTAAGGTTCACAGCCCGATTCGTAACCACTACTGATACTGTAAACTTATTTTTCCCTCATTGTTTTGTACTTATAAAAAATTAAAACAAAGGCATTGAGATACTCAACTCCTTACATGGTATGGTTGATGTTCAGAAACTCAGTAATACAACAGTGATTATCTGAAAGTTAGGAAAGCAAAATAATTCCTGTTGTCAAGATTAAATAAAATAACATGGAAATAGTACATATTTTCTGAAACCGGATGGCAGAAAAGTAAGAACTTACTAAAAGCCATTTAAATGATAGAATTTAATCTTGTTAAAAGGTAGATTGTGATGCTAAAGCAAATGGAAGAAATGAGGAGGTGGAAGAGCTAAAAAGAAGATTTCAAAGGTCAGCTCTTGAAGACAAAGTTAAATATTACAACAAAATGTTCAAAGATCTGGAGTCAGAAAACCAAAAAGGAAGAACACACTCAGCATTTCCAGCTGGGAAAACTGAAGAAAAAACTTGAGCCTCAACATTCATAATTGAAAGATTCTCTGTAAAAATGATTGAATGTTGCAGAGAGCATCAAAAGAAGATGGAAGGAATGCACAGAATCACTGTACCAAAAAGAAATGATTGATGTTCAACTATTTCAAGAAGTAGCATATGATTAAGATCCAATTATATTGAAGGAAGAAGTCCAAGGTGCATTGAAAGAAATGGCAAAAAACAAGGCAACAGGCATTGATGAAATAAAAATTGAAACTTTCAAGAAAGTGAGGTGGCAATGGAGTAACTCATTCCTCCATGTCAAGAAATTTGAAAGAAAACTATCTGGCCAACTGATTGGAAGAGATCCATATTTGTGCCCATTACAAAGAGAGGTGGTGCAAAGGAATGCAGAAATCATCGGACAATATCTTTGATATTCCATGCGAGTAAAGTTTCACTAAAGGTAATACAGAAACAGATTCCAGGATTGAACCTCTGGAAGTTCCCTGTCAGTTCAGAAGAGGTCGTGGAACAAGGGATATCATTGCTGATGTGCAATGGATCTTGGCTGAAAGCAGAGAATATCAGAAAGACGTTCCCCTGTGCTTTATTGACTATGCAAAGGCTTTCGATAATGTGGATCAT